TGTAGGTCTTCTTTTTTGTCTTTGGCAAAAGACCACGTCATTTCTCCCACTAGCGCTATGCTCGCATATTTGATTTGGTTGTATTTATCCAGAATGCCGTGCATTGTACTCCACTTCCTACTTTGGGTAACTGCCTGTGGTCCACTTGGTGTTCACATCATCAAACTGCATCAGAGTTCACTTCAACCAAACCAAGACCCGAATGGGCAGGACCTCATCCCAGACCCAGAGCGGGCACTCTGCCTTTTTCCAGCTTCGCTTTAGGTTTTAAAAAGCAGCTGTGCTTTTTAATTGATCCTTCTTGCTCTGCTGCTTGTTTCATCCTCAACTGGAGAAGAACAGTGTTTGTTAAACAAACATGCATGAACTGCTAATGCAGTTTTTAAAAATAAACATTATGTACTCCACTATCTGTTATTTAAGGTCAATGCAGTCCTGATATCGAGAGTCGGTAGAAAACATGCTTCAAGGACAATTTCAGAAGCAAACGTGTTTGCTTCAGTTTTTGTTACTCTTCGTTTTTGCCTCTGAATGTAATCTGCTGTGAAATAAATATGGTTTTTGCTGTCAAAGTAGCGACACCGGCCAGCATATATATGTGCGCTGGACTCACTGAGCATGACTTTAATTTGCAGGTAGTTTTCAAGTTTCTCACTCCGGCAGTGATGGCTCATCGGCACCATTAGTCACCTAACCAGCCTGAGACCTGCCTGCAGCTTCTTAAGTGTGTGGCTCCGCACACCTTTAGGTTTATGTGTGTTTGCACTCATCTCGCATTATTACAGTTGACTTCCTCTCTCTGCTCGTACAATCTTGGTTCCCTGTTCACACACTCATGCTGTGCCTCCATACATCTTAGTGAGCTATCATAACGTTCTAATAAAAACAAACATTCTTCACATCTTTCACCGTATAAAGCTGGACTTGGTGACTTTTGGTTCAGTGTTCTAGGGAGTGAAAACAGCCAGGAAGCAGCCACATTTCAGTCCATTGGTGTGTAAAATTTGAAAAAACACAATATAACCAGTCACAGAGAAAATTTTGCTAGAAAATGTATTGTAACTTAGACTTCAGTCAGGGGCCCTTGGAATTGGGCGCCCCTGGGCATAATGGAGTAACATTGTTGGGATGACATACTGAAGAGGGCATATCGGAAAAAAAATAGGAGCTTCATAGAGAGACAGAGGCCCAATTTCAACTTGTCAGATACAGCTATGCTGGAAAGTCACATTTCTTTTAGGTCATTTTTGACATATAAACGACTAAAGGTAACAGAGTTACTTGATGTGCTTAGAAAATACATAATATTTTCCTGGTGTTTGGTTGATGCCAACAGACAGCTGCTGTGTATTTTCTGTATAAAATGTTCTGTCATGATGGGGCTACAGATAGTCAGAACTTGTTTCAATATTTAGACTAACTGGGTGTTTTGTTTTCTTTTATTATTACTACTCTTCACCAAAATCCCAATTTATTATTTTTTTAAAATGGTTGGATTTTGTTAGATGGTTGGTCATGAGTTCTTGTTTGGCTTATTTATATGTTGTCATAAATTAAATAATAGTTGGAAAGGTAGTATGCTTGGTAAATCTGAATGCTGTTTGTCAGAGATCCCAGTGGAGAAGAGGTCCAAAATAAAACAGGTAGCAGACCAGAGTGTTTGTTGAAAACATAGTCATGTTTAAGGGAGTCTCTTTGTCACCAGATTCCAAGGGACAATCTCTACATTTCATCCAAGAACTCTCTCAATGGTTTTTCTCCCCTTTTTTTATTTTTTACAAGGCCCTCTTCTGTAAAAGCCTGAAAGATGGGAACAACAATAAAAAAAAATTGTCTGCATTTCACATTTTGCTTCCAGCAAGTGTGGGCTGAATGACAGAAGAGCTATAAACTCAGACACCGAAGGAACCAGAAGAAAAAATAAAAGATGAAGTGGACATGCGACCTAGTCCTATCGCCTGCACTGTTTGATAAACATCATAGCTGGAGCAAAATGGACAACCTGGAGGTCATGAAGGAGCAGATGCATTTAGAACGTAGAGCTGAAGCCCAATATGTACAGTGTGTACACAATACAAACAGACCTCTTCTCTACCTACGTGACACAGAATCAGGCTGTAGACAAGGGGTCTTCAACAACAGCCTTGAGACTGCAACTTTTAAATGTCTTTCTGCATCAACACGCCCAAATCAAACATTCAGGTCATTAGCATGTGTGTTGGACGGGGAACACGTGGAATAGTGCGTTCACACCATTGCCGTTTAGTCCAACTAGTTTGTTTTCCTGTAGAAAGTCCGGTTTGTGTGGGGAAGTGTGAATCTCCAATCGAACGCTGGTTTGCCTACAAACCTCGGTCTGGGTTCAGTTGAAGTGAACTCTGGTGTGGTTTGAATGCATATGTGAACGCCAAGCAGACCAGAAACTGCTGCAAAAGCAGGAATTGAACTACAGTGCAGGGCATTCTGGGTAAATACAACAAAAACAAACATCTACTAGGAAAGGAAGAAATAGCTGTTGGTTTTATTTTTTACAAAAGATAGTATATGCATACTTTAATAATGCTATGTTGGTGATATGATCAAATTCCTATCTCTGGTACACCTCACCTCACCTTTCTATCTTCATTCATAAAATTACCTGGATGATTTAGTTTGCACCTAAATTCTGACTGTACATTTAGCAGGGTATGCATTAGCTTTCAGTAAAGAAATTTTAAAAATACATTTGGCAATTCCAACTGACCTGAAACAGAAAACAATTATATTCCTTTAATATAATTGTACTTTAATAAGTGAGAAAAAAAATATTATGTAGTTTTAAAATATCTGGTTTTAACTCCATCTGAGTGACATTGATTCAGCTCCATGGCTTAGTTTTAATCATCAAACTCAGTGAAACACGTTGGCTTTTTTTAAGGAAATAATCACGTAAGCACATAGATGTGTATCTCTGCATCCCTTTCACTACTTATACGCTCCCCACCCAGACACCCACACACACACACACACACACACTGAATGTATGAAACACACATGCATACGCACGCACAAACCCCAGCAGATTGACAGTGACATGCACATGCACACCAATCACCTCAGGGAGCTGACATGTTCACAATTTATTTCCTTTCCGTCTGTTGCTTTGAAGCTGATCTTTGCTGAAGGATTAACTGATATTACAGAATTTCATCTTACCTACCCAGACCTAATACCAGCTGTACTTTCAAACCACTCATGGCACGCGTGTGCGTATGCGTGTGTGCGTGTGTGTGTGTGTGTGTGTCAAAGTGCTCGGTCATGCTTAGGTGTATTTAAGCGGAAGAAAGACGATGGTTAGGGGTCACCAAAGCTTCCTGGCAGCTCCAGTTTCCACTGTCTGCTCCTGAATATTCTGGGCAAGCAGTCAACATCTGCTGCAGGAGCCTTTGTTGGCCTTCATGTCCTTAATGAATGGAGCGACATTATAATGTGTCAGCACAGCACAGACTCTTCCACGTTATAGTCATCTTTACACATGTGTCTTTTGTTAGCTCGGGGCTTCAGAGGAACTGTGCTGACCTACTGAAGTAGGCTACAGCAGATCCTTCCCTGAGGAAACATTGATACAACATAAAGTCATTCCCCACTTTAAATACATTTTTATATAACAAACTAGCCTGCATAAAGCACACAGCACGGCGTAGGATGAGCAAAACTATTTCAGATCATGTTGTAGAAAATCCCATATTAATTTGTGCCTTTTTCAATATGAGGTGCTTCACAGAGTCCACTTGTCCAAATCCATGTCAGCCAGGATTTGGCAGGGATGAGAACGTTGTAATCCATAAATTGTTGACCTGTCCTGGTTTAGCAAAACTTCCTGAAAGGAGGTATGACACACCCTGAATGAGGTCATTGACCTGAAATTGACCCTGTGACCTTTGCTTGCTCCTTTGCATATGATGGGTTAGGAAGGTGAACATATTGCCTTTTTACGTGCTGGTATGCTGTTCTATACCTGAAAGTAAAGGCTGCCTGTCCACCAAGACTCAACAGCTTTCATGCCTTGCCTCAGGTTTTACATGATTCATTCTTCTACTCAGAATAAAAGTTCTGGTAGACTTCTACCTAATTGTGGTTCATTTTCTGTTATGTTTCTCTGGAACGTGACCTTTAGTTATTGGTGCCTATTTGCATATTTTTTTTCGTAACACGTCTAAAATATTCTTAAGTAAATGCAGCTTTAGAAGCTGAAATGCAAAGTCCAATGCCACTTGACATGCTGTTAGCTGGTGTTTGCAAAGCCATTTTTTTTCTTTCAGTTTTGATACCAATATCTGAGGTTTACCATTGATCTGATATGGAAAAACAGCTGAATTGTCTTAAAATGTTATTTTTTTAAACAAGATATTAATGTTCTGAATTACAAATTTAGTTGCTAACTCTGCACCAGGATAACACACTTAAATGCACTAATTGCTTCACAAGTTTTCTTCAAAGATATAAAAACAACTTTAATGTGTTTAGTTGGTGCAATTCATAGGAGGAACGACTAATGTAAAATAAATGATAAAGAAATTGAAACTGTCAAAAACAATTGGTTGACTACTTTGGTCAAACATGCAAATATAAACTGCAACAAACCTTCATTCAAATGGTTCAGAAAGTGCAATTAGAAATTCTAAATATAATGTAAAATAAATAATAAAGAATGATGTTGCTCGTGACAGAAAACATAGAATTAAACTGAATAGATCTGCCCTTATTGATCGGGCACATTGTCACTGGTGCATTTTTTTTTCAATATCTGATATTATCAGATCAGTATATATTGTTCAAAGTAAACTTTAAATATAAACATAAAAAAATAACTAAAAATACCAATGAAACTAGTAACTTGAAAAGTGTTCTTCCTGATATTCTATGCTGTTTTTGTTTTTGTGAAAGTAGAAATGGCGGCAGCAACATACTCTATATTTTTACCATAGTTGAACCTAAAACCTTCTTTTTTTCTTTGCCAGGTGCGAGTTGTCATTGTTGATGAGAACGACTGCGTCCCAGAATTCCTGCAGTCGATTTACAGCAAGGACGGCGTTCCGGAGACGGTTACAACGGCAACCTCCTTGTTGCAAGGTAAGACATAAAACCCATAAAATCCCTTCTCTCTCCCATCACTGATTGAGCTCCTAGTTTCAGTTCTCTGCACATTTAACACAGCATATTATTCACATCTTCAACAAATAATTATGAGCTGTATTTTGTTGCTGAGAAACGAAGTAAAGTTGCTGATGTTACGGTGATAGAGAAGCGGAAACGTAGTATCGGCAAAAGCAGTGAGATCGCGAAATGGATGCAAAGTTTGGATATTGGAGCGATTGGTGGCATCCACTTTGTGATTTGTTTTTAGCTTAGTGGTTTCTGTTCTGTACAAAAAGGATTATGTTAAGAATGAACACACAACAGACAGTGGTTCTGTTTTGAGTCGGAAGATGAAGAGAGGAAACCTGCAGCCAGTCTGTTGTTTGCAATATTGTTGCATCAGTTTAAAAATTTTACAGTTATACATTGTAATTCAAAATGATAGAAAAAAAGTTTCTTGTGAATATTTGAAATATTTAGAGTGAATTTTATTTTTTTTTTTTCCAAATCGGATTTTGTTTGTCTGTGACTCAAGTTCCAAAATGCTGCCACAGTACTGTATGTCCAAAAGTAAAAACTAAGTGTAAATTCTTAAAGTTCAGATTTATGAATTTACTGAAAAAAATTATACCGCATAAGGCAATATTACATATAATGTAGTGGTTTCTATTAAGGTAAAATCAAAATTGGTCAAAAACCATATGTACCTGGACTCCTAACAAGTGTATAAAGTGGAAGTATCTGTTCGGACCTAAACTTTAATCTGATGCTAATTTTTGGGAGATTGTGGTTCTGGGAATTAAATTACATTTCTTTCCATAAATGTGTTAGGGAATATGTCTAAATGTTGTCAAATGTTGTTTGTTAGTGTATAAACGATGCTTGGACTAAACACTGTCAAAAAGTGAAAGATGAGTTGACATCTAAAATAGAGTCTTACAAATTTAAGAGACACTTATATTTAGGTGGGCTTGGAATAAATAATTGTACACAGTCTGAGTGTTTCTTTCTGTGGCTCTGTCAGTATTCTGCTGGATCTGTTCAACTGCGGTTTTAGATCTTTGTGGGTACAGTTGCAAAAAACGAAATCAGAGTAATTTTTGTAGCAATTTTGCAGCAATTCAACAACTTTTTGAGCGATTATCATAAAGCTAACCTGTAAGACTTAGAAATGTGCCTCTTAAAGCAGATGAAGGTAAATGTCATGATTTCTCTTTCACCTGGACAACTTAAAAACATTACACATTTTTTGTGTGTCTGATCTCTGTAGGAAGGATGCTGGAAATCATTGCAAATCTGAACATAAATCTGCACAACATTGTTAACTACTGTCACCATCTTGATTTTTTTTGTTCGTTTGTCTACTCTCAACATAATAAATGGAATATTGGTTGCTCGGATTTCAAAAAGCATCTTGCTTTATTTATCTGAGTTCACCAAATGGATGTACCTTTTGCTGAACAAAATTTGCTCCAGTAAAATATAAAAAAAAAAATCCCTGGATGTTTGAGGTTCTATTTACTATGACCTTCAATTAACGTGAAAAACCTGGTTGATAAAAGATGAGTCCTTTGTGTTTGCCTTCCACTTTTAAACTGTTTCTGTTTTGAAAGGCAGTGACAATTTCTTTGCAAGATTATTTTCTTTTAGAAATGTTTTAAAACTCCAACTTTGAGCTGGAAAACCAACTTTATGGAATTTTTATTTTTTGACATTTTGTGGCCCTCAAGCGGCCGCTGAGCCACACTGTGGACACCCTTCCTCAAGGGGTCATGAAGGGAATATAGAGACACAAATCTGGGCTGTAAAGGCTGATTGTTGCATAACAGTTCTGAATAACATTTTCAGTCAAAGACTATTAAATCACAAACTGTCTTTAAATAAGCTAATAGCATACCAATAATAATGAAAGTGCAGCTGAATGACAACTTTGTGAATGAAGAATAATTAATGAAAATAAAACAAGTTTCTACAGGGTATGAACGTCTAATGATGGTTTGGACCCCTCATTGGAAATGCTCATTATATTTCACTACAGGCTGAAACTCTGACTGTTGGACTCATGTCAGCTGTTTTTACATCTTGTGTTGCTGCCTTGCTCAAAGGTATTATCATCACCCTCTTCACCGTTATCATCATTCTTTTACTGGGCCATTACGTAAAAGTAAGAACGTTTGTTGCTTTGTGTCCTTCATGTAAAATATGTATGTAAAATATCTCATAGTTTTCTCTGAAATCTATTTTTCATGCTGTGTTGTTGTTGTCGAGCAATTTTAGGAGTGGATAACGACAAAACAATATTTGCTGAAATATGAATAAAAATCAGGGCCGTGCTTTTGATATTGTGTAAATAAACCCTTCTTTATTCCACTTCACTAACATCCAGCAAAAGGCTATATTTCCCCCCAGTGGAGCGCAGTGAGTTAATAAACTCTTCACCCACTTCAAAGAAGGCTGTGGTCCAGAACTACTTAAGACTTAAAGGTGAAATGTTGTTAGTTTGTAAGATCTGTATGCATGAAATAATCCTTAGGTGCAACATAATGCTGTGTGAGTGAGGGAGTAAGTTGGTGGATGTGTGACGTCGGAGGCGCGGTTTGGTGCCATCAGCAGGTGCACTGAGGAGGCGAGAGAGTCCCCCCCTTCTGTGCTCCTATCCACCTGTCTGTGGACACAAGCATGCATACTGGTTTGTGCAAGCAGGAAGAAAGCAAATGTGAAAGCATTATGGTTAGACTTTAATTGTTTAAATAAGTGCATTTGCAGTACATTTTTTTCACTTCCACTGCATCACTAAGATAGTTTCTACTGTGCATATGAATTCAAATTAAGATATATTTGGTGTTTGAACTCTTAAAATGGGGAGTTATCAACATTCGTTGAGGGATGTATCTATATATATATCTATAGTTTGGTTTCTGTCAAAATCAACGGAGGGTTAAACAATTTTTTCTAATAATTTAGTTTTACATAACCGCTCCCATGCTTTATGAAATATTGGATCCCAGTTGATGATTGATATGATTATTGCCATGTTTTACGAGAAAATGAGGCAATTAATTCAGTTTCTGTCCACTTGTAAAACTTTTGGAAATTACAGCGTCTTGCAGTGTGCCACAATAAAGGAAAAATAACACAGAGAAACAGGTGGGAAAACAAAGCCACTGATCTACTGCTTTTTTCTCGCTCTCTGTGTCGTCTTTGTTCCAAACTCAGATCTGTCGCTGTGGCAACCGACTAACAGCAGCTACACTAGCCATAAGAGCTGAGATGACATTCAGGTGTATCAACAACATCAACAAGAAAAAGATTAAATTCAGAACATTCACTCCGTTACGGCTTTAATGTTTTTGGGCTTGATGTTTATTTTTTGATCATTAGTAAGTGGTCGCCTGAACACAGCGGTGGTTAGCTGACCTAAACACCTACACTCTGATCTGTCAGATCAGAGTGTAGGTGTTTAGGTCACCTTATTTTAGTACTAACTGAACTAAAACTTGCAGAACTGCACAGGTACATGTTAAGGCGCTTAGCAGAACCAACCTCCTACTTATTATACTAGTCACAATATTCCCGACCCTGTGCACAGGAACAGAGCATGTGTGTCGCCCCGTAGTCACATGATTTCTGATCCAGTATGTCCCAAATCTTCAGAGAATAGTTCCTCAGAAGTTTTACAATCAATGCACTTGATGTAAGTTTGCAGAACTTATTGTAATTTATCAGACTGATCTTTAGTTTGAAAGCAAGTGTGATGGAGCATGAAGTGTCTTTGCATGATGCAGGACAGTTTACCTCCAGGACCAAGGCTGGGAACCAGTGAGAGGCGTTCACTGTTGTGGCTCATCGGTGCAATGGCCTCCAGGCTCCCCCATAGTGATTTAACTCAACAATCTTGCTGCAAGATTCCAAAAAGGTTTTCTGATAAATGCTCAAACGGTGCTCTGAGGAGTAGAAATCTGTACTTAGTAAATTAAATATTGACTCATGTGCCATGTGGCTGGCTGCTGCATGCGGTTAGACTCAGGGCAGACACTACTATAACCGTTCATTTTTCAACTATCATCAATGCGTGAGAGGTAGTTCATCACTTATCAGCAGAGTAGCTGCTGCGTTTCAGCTGCACTTCACAAACCTGTCAGTCGTTTTAAGCAGCTGGACACAGCAGAGTAAACACACAGAAATGTGCTTTGTCCAACTCCTATTGCAGACTTCAGTTCTAATTCCTCACATTACAGAAAACGCATGAGGAAGACACCAACATTTCCGGCTTGACTTGGTATCCTTTAAACTGTGCGTCCCAATGATGTGAGATTCATCCTTGGTGATGTGAAGATGAGATATAACACAAATGCAGACTCAAGTGCTTGTATACTTTATTCTTCTATCCATTTTTTTCTGTACCTTTGGCAAATTTAAAAGTATTGTCTAGGTAATAAAGAAACCGACTAAATGATGTATTTTAAAAAGTGATCTCTGACAGGTTGGCCGGCCTCTTCTCACAGTGTTTTAATATTTTCTATTTCAATACACAACCTCTGTCAGTTATGTATGTTTAAGAAACAGCACTATTTTTTATAAATCAGGACATGAGTCAAGGTAACAACCTACTTGAATTTTTTTGAAAAGACATGTGGTTCTTCATAAAATGGTTTGTTGAAAATTTAAAAAAGCATTAATATGAAATACATTGCAAGTTTTTACAAAATCCAAAGTAATTGTATTTTTTATTTATTTATTTTTAAATTACTGATGGGAAAAAAAATTATCATACATCAATCATCAAATTTTCAGACTGATGTGAATGATTCTCCTCGCACCTTAAACAATAGTTTATAAGAGGAGTCTCTCTATTTCTCAGTGCAAAACGACATCTCGCAGCAAAGTATGCATTTATTAAGAATTAACCTAATTCACATTTACATGTCTTACCTGGCAAGAAACACAACCAACAAAAAAATAAATTTCATCTACTTCTTACACCAATAAGAAGCCTTTGTGCACTGATTATTCAACAATCCCAAGCTCCAAGAACTGTACGGCTTATTCAAGTACTTTTCAGATCATTTTCTCAACTCTATTGTGGATTTTGGATTATCTATTGATCTCCCAGTGGATGGGGAAAGGTAGAAAGAAGGAAAAGGAGTATCCTGTGCATTCAGTGACCTTGGATCTCACTTGAGTCTGGAGTATAAACAGTCTCACCTGGGTGGCAGAAGGCTTTAGTCTCTCCTGTCCAGGGATCACACACTGGCAGCCTGCTCCAGAATTACACCATCACTAAGGCAGAGAAGTGTACACTGAGAAAATATCTTGAACGTACAGTATAGTACCAGGTAAAATTGCTATAACCACAGCTGCCGGTATTTTATTGTAAATGAGATTTTTTATTTTTTTTTACAGTGTAGGTATTTGTTCTTTCAGTCGGCCCTGAAAGAACAAGCAGCAGAGTAAACACACAGAAATGTGTTTACTCTGTTCTCGACCCTGGATTGTCTCACAGATCTTCAACCACAGCTCTCTGTGTGTTTTGTGTCAAACTCCCCTTAATGTTGGCATAGAAAAACCAGGCTCCTTCTTTTGTCAGGATGTCCAGGTCAGGATGGTCTTGTAAATGAAGAGGCATTCTCTCCTCACAATATTAGGGAGCCAGGGATGGCCCGTCCTACAGAGTGCACTTCCTCATGGAAGTCAAGGGCCCTAAAATCACTGAGTGACCCTCGTGAGTGAGGTAGAAAACTTTTTCTTCCAGAGCATCAGTTACAGAAGAAACTCATCAAAAATGTTTCTCAATTTTTAGATATATCTTAGCTATTGTCACTTCTCTGTCGGTTCACTTCGTTCTCTCTCTCTTTCATTGACTTTCATTCATTTTTCACATATTTCTATAGCCATTGCCATTACCAACCAGTACATGCATAAGCCTAACCTGGACTCAGTTCATGCCTCAGTCCTAGACCTGACCTATACCCCCAAACAACAGTTCTTCTTATTGTCAGTTGGTTTCCACAACAAGAGGAAAGTTTTAAGAAAATGGTTCTTGTTCTGTATCAAACCTAAACACACTCCCAGACCTCTTTTTTAAGTGACTGTATTACATTTGATTGGCGGATAGAGAAATTAAAAACGAAGGCCACACTCCAAAAAAGTTTCAATTATCGTTCACATTCCTGTAAAATGAAGCGAAAAAAAAAAATCAATTGCTGGAATCTGCACAAAATAAGGTGAAATAATGGATTATAACAAATGGCAACCTCAAAAACCTCCCTTTTATAAACTGTAAAAATCAGTTTTGCCTGCTTTTGTTCAATTAACTACCCTCAAACTATTCATTTGATGCAGTTTAAAGTCCCCTAAGGCTTCATGGCAATAAAGAATTCCACTTTGTTAGCTGTTGTTTCTTTGTTACGTGTGAGTGCTGGCACATGTATTATTCATATGTGTGTGTGCGTGTGTGTGTGTATGCATTGTTTGTATGGGCACATGAGCTAAATGCAATGTAAGGTGAATTGGAGAATTGAGCTTTTGATGGGGAAATGTTCTTGTTAGTGTAAAAATATGCTTATTCAAATCCCTGGTGGAATTTTCTGTTTTAGCAAGGCAATCAATTTGCGGACAAGCGGGTCCGGGCTCCATGGATTCCCAATGTGAGCCGCACGGCTAGAAATGTTGCAAAATGACAGTGTTTTCAATGCTTGCTGTGCAACTAACACTTTGTATTATTCTCGAAAGTAGAAACATAACTTCTTTTCTATCATTAGCATGGTTACGTAATACACTGTAGATTTCCTTGATTTTTTTTCTTTCTTTCAGTATCAGCATGTCAAAAAAAAAATAACTATAAAAAAGACCAAAAACAGGAAATCAACCCAATTATTTGATTTCCAGGGTTTTTTCTACAGCAGCTCATGTCATTCAGTTCTGCTTAGTTTTCAACTTCTTTTACTTTTTTTTTGATCTCCTCTATCCTGTGAATTTAGGATAGAACTTGATGTTTGTAATGATGAGACGATTTAGTTAAGCTCTAACTGTGATGTTCTTTTCATTCTCTAACTCCTTCTTCCTGTTTCCCATCTCTTAGTGTCAGCCAACGACTGTGACTCCGGACCGAATGCCGACCTGACCTATTACACCCTGAGTCCAGATTTTATCATATCTCCTCATGGGACTATTTTCCCAGCGGGACCTCTGGACTACGAGAGACCCAATCACCTGTATGAGTTTGTCGTCATGGCAATTGACAAGGGAGAGGTCCCACGGACGGGGACGACGACGGTGCGAATTAGGATGGCCAACGTAAACGACGAGGCACCCGAGTTTTCCCAACATATGTGAGTAAGAGCTGAGATTAACACTTATAGTTGGTGGTAATGAGATTTACAGTTAGCAGTAGCAATATGGTTGATTCAAATTCTGAATTTTACATGCAGGTCGTTAGATTTGAAAATAATTTGACTAAACTTATTTCTTCATTGCAAAACTGAGTCAGGTTGGCTTATGTTCTACCCTCAATGTTTTTAAGGGAATGAGATCGGGACTTATTCAAAAACATTGACTTTTTTGTCTTTAAGCTACTTTAGAACTATGCTTTATGTCCTATTCTACTGAAAATATTTATTTGCACCCAACCTGTAACTTCGTTGCCTGTGTGTTGAGACATTGTTTCAATATGTCCATAAAATGTTACTTCTTCACTACACCATATTTCAGGAAGAGTAGCAGAATGTGATGCTAACACCACAGACTTTATAATTGGAGTGGAGTTCTGATGCTTCCACAAGCTTTCCTTGATTTTTCTACAGATGTAAGGGTAGTGATAATGGACAAGCATATCAGTTTTAGATTTCTCATGCCATAGCACATATTTTGTAAATTCCTTGCTCCTGTGTGCATTTTAGAACTGTGACGTGCTTTTCTGTTGCTTGTGGAGCAATGGATTCTTCCTCTTTGAGTCCATGAATGGAGACTTTGAGTTTCATGGACTCTGGTCCTTTAGCCACCAAAGAGGTTTTAGTTTGAATCCTTATTATATCTACAGGTCAAATAATAACAAGGCATGGCTTTGACTTGTTAAATTCAGCTTTGTTTTCTCAAAAAAAAAAAAAAAAAAAAAAAAACGAAATGAAATGAAAAGAAATTTAAAAAATTTAGTGAAGTTATAACTCAGGAGGATCAGTTGTTCTTTATCCAATTTTAACATTTGATTGATGATCAGAAATATTTAAGAGCAGGACAAATCTGTAAAAGAGAAAATAATTTTAACAACACTAAATGCATTGCAGAGCTTCACAAAATCAGAAATAGCAACTCTCCTAATGAGCTGCTAAATGTTTTGTTTTAAATCCATTTATCAAATAATTCTTTTAAAAGTAAGACAATAGTCAATATAGTAGATGGTGTCATTAGGATTTAATGAGTGTTCTTTGTTATACCTTAAAACAACTAAAATGTTTGGTTTTATAAATGGAAAAAGTATTGACTTTTGAAATACTTGGAAATGCTTGAATTTTATTTGGGTGTTTTCAAGATATAAAAGGTGATTGAATTCTACATAAAGTTATCGATTAAAAGTGGTTGATACTCAGACAGCACCATTTTATAATAATCTCTTTAATTAAAAACCAAAATTTTGAAAATGTGATTTACAATTGAAGGCAGATATTTTATATGCCCAATAAGACAGACACATTTACCGTACTTCTCTCTGTTGGCAGTTAAATCTGAATAAACTTGCCTTGTTTTATGTCAGTTAGAAATAACAAAAATATTTCTATTGACTTTTGACTGTAATTTTCTTTTGATATTATGTTAAAGCATTTAATTTGAGCAGGTATGCCATTTGTTTCATAAAATGTGTTTGTATAATTCAAATCAAATGAATTTAATGGCTAAATGAGTTTTTGATCTGTTTAATTGAAACAAAGGTTGTCTCATATTTAGAGTGATAAACATTTTTTGAAATTGGGACTTGTTTTGTTAAATCTGTATTTTTGTTTTTAGACCAGCCAGCTGTACAATTTGTAATTTTACTACTTTTAATCTACCTTATCACAATATACAATACTACCTCAATGCATTATTAATGGTGGTAATATGTTACAGTGAATTGAAACATAATTTATTTTTTGCTCATTTGTATTGTTTTTATCTTCAACACAATACAAATGCTGGAAAAGTTTGAAAACTTTCCCTTAAAAAGTTTATGATCCTGGAACATCCCAGCAGAAACAGAGCTTGGTAGTCCTGCATATTCAGGTTGGAACTTTGCAGCTGCTTCTAAATTCAGCGTAGCGGCTTCTGTTAACACCTCTCTCTCCCCCCAGACCCTCGTCCCTCCCCGGCTCCTCTTGCTGCTGTGGTGCCTGCATCTTTTAATTGGTTGATTTTCTGGCAGAGAGCTGGGCAGATTGGTGAGGCAGGGTCAATCAACCATGCCCACTAGCACCCTCAGGAGGTCCTGAGCCCAAACTTTATGTGCATGGAAGTGCATTCTGTAATTGAGGAGGTCCAAGGGAAATACGGTCTGGATATGGAAAAGTGATGTCGTTTGTAAAGTGCATTTATATGCAATGCATCTGATATGATTGTGAGAATATGTGTGTGTGTGCATACGTCTGAGTGTGTTAAAGCAGGAAGGTATTGATTTAATGACAGTGACAACAGAATAATCAGTTTTTCCCTTCCTGACCCTCAGTCTTCTGGCACAACTGATCCAGAAATCCTATTTGACAATACACACACACACACACACACACACACACACACACACACACACACACACACACACGCACACGCACACACCCACGCACACACACACCCACGCACACACACACACACACTAGTTTAAACTTATTCAGGGAGGCTCACATGTGCTTTCTTCTGTTTGTTCATTTAAATGCATCCATGATGCCTGGCTTTGATGAACTCTTCCTCAGGCTTGGGACAATGGCTATGATGAAAAGACAGGAAATTAGAGCAAAAGATAGAAGGCTCGTTAAATATGTCATTATCCAGGCAGAAAATGTGGCCTGTTGTTATCGATCTGCGGAGTTGGAAGCGTTCAGTAATGAGTACCCGTGTGAGTGGTTTTTTTTTGTCTTTTTTGCCAGGTCAAGAAGAAAGCTGGTTTAAGCAATCAAGTATTTCTGCAGCATTTTTTTGTCTCTTTTTGTCTGTTTTAATAGTTTGCAACTCAGATCTTTGTTGCTGATTGTTGTATTTTAGTCAAGGGTTGATATTGTCAAAAATAATATCACAATACTGCAAGATAATAATGTTGATAATCTTAAAAAAAATTCTATAATTACAAATCTAGTTATTGTAAATTTACCCATTTTCTTTCTGTAATATTTACTGCTGCCTTTTAAATATAAGGCCCTGAAGATAATTATATTAAAAAGAAATGTTCACACTTTTAAGAGTAAGTACAAACAGTATAGTCACATTTGTATTTGAAGTGAAAATGGTTGATGCTGACCTTAGGTTGCTACTGCTACATGTTTAGCATTGAGATTCTATTTTAGGCTAGAATAGTTTTTCCGAGAGACTAAATTCTTTTAGCACAACTTGAACATAAAATTATTCGTTTCCAGCATTCAGTCAGTTCTGTAAAAGTTGAATTTAATCATATGGAGCAAGAAATGACAGAACTTAAAGAGCTTTTGATTTGGAATTGAGCAGAAAGGAGAGAGGATGTTTTGCAGCTTTGTGAACTTCAGTCCCTTTTCTATTTGTTTATGCCATCAAAATATCATTTTAATTATTTGTATAACTTATTGAACATCTTTACAAATACCTTCTGTCTGCGATAATAACAGATACTTAAGAAAAGCTGACTGTGGCTCTTTCTGCTGAAAGGAAGAGTTTACTTTTACACTTCCTGGACAAATCACAGACGTTCATGTGCTCAGGAAAAGCAGTCTTTTCTTTCATTTTCTTCAGTTTTCTGAGGTTGTGGCTCAGATCCTGATTTCACAGCACACGGCTTACAGATAAAATTGCTCTCTCCATGACAGATCTAAAGAAGACAGGCAACATCTGCAACAATCCTCATGTCATTCCAGGTTTTATCTGGACCACTTTTTCTTGGATTCAATATTTGTCCTAACCAGTAACACAGCATGCATGCCCATGTGGTGTCTGCACTCAAATATTGGGTATTGACTGTATTAATTGACCAACTGAATATGTGTAGGGCTGGATTGTCATGAGTCAAGTTTATTTGTTTTGCATTTTTGAGCAACAAAGCAGTTCAAAGTGCTTCACATCATAAAAAGAAACATAAAACAAACAATTAGATTTTGTCAAATGCCCTCATCAAAATCCTGAAGAATATTCATCTTTTTTTAAAACCTACACTTTAAACTTTTGGTAAACACAAGAATCAAACAAAAGTTGTGTATTGCTGCTTTTCTTCATAGTTTAACACGACCTTGCTCAATCTGGGATCTTCTATTTCCACTAGGAAATATTTTATCTGCTATTGCAGCAATTTTTACAACATCATTTTTTTTTTCGCCGTATCAACGCTTAATAAGATTACCCACTTGGGTTATTCATCCTATGATAAAAAGCATGTGGTTTTGGATGCCAATCACCTGTGTGGATCTCATACAGTAGGACATGTAAGAGGCACTTGAGAAATCAACAAGAAGCACACTCATGTCCTTCTGCGCAACAGTCCAAGAAACATGAAGAATATTGATGAAAGCTTTGCAGGTTCCAATGCCACTGCTGCACGATGCACAGTTGAGCTGGACATGGTGGGAAAACCTGTTTGTGCAGTAACACAGAGTAACTGTGGCTAAAACAGCAGCATTTTATTACTGCTCACAGGCTCATATTAGAATTTATATACATAATTGTTTACAGCCTTCTGGGTGTAAAAAGCTAATAATGCTACAGTTATTGATGTTGTTCCATAATTGTTTTTACCAGCTTCAGAAAGTCAGATTTTGTGTTTTTAATTAAATGTGTCCCTTCCGAGGTACAGAGCATGCAGCATTAATGAAACAACACTCCAAGAAATTGTACATAGCAGAGAAAATTAAAAACTTGTTTTTTTGAAGTCCATACAAACCAATCCCACCAGTCTACTGGCTAATAACAGAAATCTGAATATTATCAGTTCATTTCAGTTTCAGAATTAGCAACAAGGTGAGCCTACAATGGCTGGAGAAGAGAAGTAACTCCATAATCCTTCTGGATTTCAAAATTGCTTTTGTGATTTTTATTTTTATTTTTATTTTTTTTTTGCTATTTTTTTTTTGCGCTACTTGAGACATTCTCCAAGATTTTTTTTAATTTCTTTTGCCATTAAACCCCTTCTGAG